TCATCTAATCATCTCTGTTTGACATGATTTACATTTCCATTTCTGGTTTTTTTTCAATAGAGTTTCAATAGAGTTAAGTTCATTTCAATTTTCAATTAAATTCATGAAAAATAATTAACCCTATCTTACACATCAATCACACATTGAATGATGACAATTTTGTAATATCTATGTATGTAGATTAATCCATAATGGAAATTTGTAAATAAAAATGGAATGGAATGGATGATTATAAACAAGGATAATTAATTTAAAACGTTTTTATCTAATGTACTCTCCTCTACACAATTGTCATCCGGTGATGTAATTTTGTATTTTTTTTTTTCAATGATGAAACGAAGAGATGATGCTGATCATCAACAAAAAAAGAAGTTTTTTCTTTTGCAACAACAAAATGGAATGATGAAATTCTAAATGAATGTGTCATATGTGACATTTGACTATTTTGTTGTTGGTTGTTTGTTTGTTAAAGTGTGTAATGAATATATGCATTGAACAGAAATAAAGGGTTATTTTCCAAATGAATTTCAATTCCGAGTAGAAAAAAATAGGTAATTGAATTCGAATCCTTGTGTCAATTCTATGTTTGTTTGTTTGTTTATTTTGTTCAGTAAATTCAAATTATTGTTGTTGAATGATGATGTATTACTGGTGGTGGATCATTCAATTCAATGTCAACCCTTTTATTTTCTCTCCTATTACTTGCCTTCGAGATGTGTTTGTTCCATTCTCTTGTCTTTTGATTGATCGGTATGAAAGACTTTGAACTTTGACCCTTTTTGTTGTTTTTTGTTGTTGTTTTTTTCACTATGATGCATAAGCAAGGGTTAAAATAAACAATCCAAAACTAACCCAACAACATTCAGAATTTTTTTTTTTTTTTGTTTTTTTGTTGAAAATAATTATTATTCATCATCATCATCATTATCAACTTGCAAACAAGAAAAAAATGAAATGAATTTTTTTTTTCCTATAGGATCTCATTTCTAATTAATTTTATTGGATTTTTTGTTTGTTTGGTGGCACTCAGCTTGTCATTCATTCATTCAAATATCCTAATGGATTCGAATTAATAAACTTTTTGTTTTGTTTCATTCAATTTTGAATGCCTATCGTATGAATCAGTCAGTATCTTCTGCTTGTTTGTTTCACCGCAAACAAAACAGCTCTGTCACTTTTTTTCTACCGTTGTGATTGAATAATGCAATATTCATTCAAGTTTTCCGATGTTTAGTTTTTCTATTGCGGACAAAAAATAATTGGCGCCCAAATTGAAAATGAAAAAGTTGAAAGAAAATGTTTTTTTTTCGGGCGTCATTTCCATTGGTATACGAATGGTTTGTCATATGATCTTTATGTGTGTGTGTGTTTAAGTATGTTCAAAATGTGCTACTTGCTCGTTGAATAACCCTTTGACTTCCAGTTTTTTTTTTCTTACATCGTTTTCTTATATCATTCATTCATTCATTCACTATCAATACCTCTACCACTTTTTTTTGTTTGTTTTTATTTATTTTTCATCATCATCATCATCATCGTCGTCGTCACTTGTTTACGTAACTCGTTCATATGATGATGATGATTAAAGAAAGAAGAAGAAGCCAGAAAATATACAGAAATGATGTTAAGAAAGATAGTTGGGATTTGTTGTTATGATGATGATTGTTATGAAGGTGGTAGTGTTAATGGTGGTGGTGGTGGTAATCAATAATGTTGTTTAGAAAAACTATGGTAGAAAAAAAATTCGCCATTTTTATCATGTGTTTTGTGATCATCAAAAAGACCCAAAATGATGATTAAATCAATTGATGAATTGAATGGATAACATGGTAGGTGTGTGCGATTTTTTTTTCTTTCTCAATCCATTTACAATCGATCATTGATAAACATTTCTACATTGACCATTGGTCACGCCAATATAGACGTGTGTTTGCTCGATCGATCATTCATTCATGCGTCTGTGGTGGTGGTGGTGGTGGTGGTGGGTGTGATGATTACCGGATTTCTCATTATTTTTCTCGGTATTTTTATAGTGAAAAGATCTCTCTGTTTTCTTCGATACCATTGTTTTTTTTCGGTGGTGGTCGTGTGTACAATTTATGATTAATTGTTTCAACAAAACAAAACAAAAAAAAATCCTTTCGTTTGTTTCTCTATCCAATCATCCTTCCATTCATTACATTTTGGAATTCTTGTGAAACTTTCCGCTAATTAGTCATCACCGGGTTAACACAAACACACATTGGTTGAAAACAATGCTAATAATAATTATAATGGTGGTCATCATCAACGAGGGAAAAAAGATTGAGTGGTGACACGCGTTTCACAATGTTATTTTTTCCTACCGTATCTCGTCGAATGATGATGATGATTGTTTGGTAATTATTTATTCTCCAAAAACATGACATTTGTATTTGGTGATGACCATCGACAATTCCACCACCAACAATAACAACCACAAAAATATTCTGTCATCATCCATAATTGTAATATGATGACATTTTTTTTGGATCGATCCAAAATTTTTGGCTTGCTTGTTTGTTTCACACAATTAATTCCTCATCATCATAATCATCATTGTTTTTTTTTTTAATTTTTGTTCTGGTTGAATGAACCAGAATTCTGGATATTTTCTTTTGGAAAATCTTTTCTCTCTATACCGTGAGATCTATGTTTGTTTGTTTGTTTGTTTGTTATTGATAAATGAATTTATTACATTTTAATTATATGGTCCAGTTATTAAATATTTTGATTTTTTTTGTTTTGTTTTGTTTTTGTTTCCACGTTTGTTTCCATAACTTTCTAGAAAATAGCTTTCGGGTCAATTCTTTTTTCTCACTGTAGAATAAGTTTCTGGAACCAAATTTTGCATTGCTATGCTCCTGCATACTGAATTAATGTTTGAAGAATTTTATTTTTTAATTAAAATTGACCAGAATTTTTTTAAAAAAACGAACAAAATTTTTTTTTCAAATTTTAATCTCTATGCTATTTTCATTCATACAAACACACACACACGTGACTTATGCAATGATCCTTTTTTAGTTTTTCAAAATTTGTTTGTTTTTGTCACTGAAATTTATTTATTTATTCTGGATCATTTTAATTATTCTAGTTGTTGATGATAGAAAAGTAAGGAAAAAAAATATAGCCAAAAGCGGTCAAAAAAGGGTTTATTGAATTCTTTGCTTTTATAAATTCGTTCATGAAGAATGTTCATAGTGTGCTTTTCCTTCCTGTTGTTTTGAATGGCGATTTTTTTTCATTTTAATTAATTTCCGCTTATTGTTTTATTTTTCGTTTTGTTTGTTTGGTGTACACTTTGCGTTCTGCAAACACACGCATAGGATTTATGCGAATTGAATAGGAAAGAACTTTCCAACATAAACATTAATGTTACATATTGACATATGTGTGACATATTTGGTTGTTCCATAAATAATGTTCCAAAAAATAACAATGAATTGCGTCATCTGTTGGTAATCGGTTGAACCTGGAACCTTATGATTTTCGCTTGGTTTTTTTTGCCGGATCGATATCAAGAAAAAAAATTAACAGCGTTCTCCGGGCGAACCATTCACATACACTAGGATACACATCTTTTCCTTTTTATTACGGAAGAAAGAATAAAAAAAACAATACAAAAGAAAAAGAAATTCGAAATTACATAGAAATGAATACATTTTACAAACAAAAATAATAACAATATTAAATGAAAATTAGAAAACAAAAAAAATCATTCATTTTATAACAACTTTTGTTCTTCCACGTCCTCTGGATAGAATTGTATCGTGACATGTTTTTTAACAATTGTAGGTTTAAGACGATCAATTCTAACTGTTTCTTTTTTCATTATTTGTTAAATTTGACATATTTTTGAGATTTAGTAATTGATATTCGCTAAGATATTCTTGACGGATCATTTATAAGAATATTCCACAGTAAAGGGGAACTCTGAGTTCGTCCACTCGTAATTGATTTCTTGATACTAGAAATATTTAATGTTGCATTTCGATTGGTCAAAAAGTCTTTAAAGATTGCATATAATAGATTCGTAGGCACATCATAATAAAGTAATTTTTTTCAATAAAGTTCAATGAATTGATTTTTATCATTGCAACAATGAGAAGTTGCACCCAGAATCCAAAATAAAACTTGAATAAACATTCGCTCGATCAAGATCTCTTGAATCGTATGTCAGTGTAGATCTTATAAACCTTTTGGCAAATGTCTTGTCTTTTCGCTGTGTTAATTCCATAATGTACGTACACGTAATCATGACTAAGCGAATTGCGAATTACCGAAATGAACTTTATGTCAAAGTATACGAATTGCATTGCTGAAATATTCATTCATTCAATAAACTTAAAGACCGCCTTATCCATAGAATTACCGTTTATCGGAAAAAAAAATTGGCCAGAAATATATACATAGGCCACACCTTTTTAGGGTTGTTCCGGTCGATTTTTTTTCTCTCTCTTTCTCTTTTTCACTTTTGATTGTTCAATGTGTACATGTGCATTGAATTCATTCATTCATTCATTCAGTTTTATTCTGATTCACACTTATCATTCGATTTTTTGGTTTTTTGGTTAAATTCAATACCACTACTACTGATTGCGGTCAATGGTTGGTTGGATTTAAAATTTTGATATCGGCATAGGAAACAATAAAGAAAGAGAGAGAGAGAGAGAGAGAGCGTATGTATTCACTGAAGAGGGGTGATGATGGACACTTGTGTAATCGACGCTTTTTGAAAAAATTGAAATCATTTGATGTTTGGTTGTCATACAACGTGGTCGTTCTCGTTTAATTGAATAACTGTTTGTTTTTTTATGAATTGAATTTTTTGTTTACAAACTTTTTTTCTAAAAAACCAAACATAAACATTTTCATTTTTCTGTAATGTTTTTTAATTTACAACAAAAAAAAAGACAATCGATTTCTTCCAATGAATCAACAAGCGGTATAATCATCGAATAGAATACAAATGATAAATCAATTAGCTACAATGATCATCGTGTAGATTTTGTTCAAATCATTATTGCATCATCGGTTTAATCATTCAACCTGGCTAATTCTGGTTCGTAGAATCTGTATGTATCGGGTAAGTTGAAAACTTTTTTTTGTTGATATATTTGAAAAGATTGAAACTCAAGATAATTTAGTGATAACAAAGTGAAAAAAAAAATCCTTTTTTTTGGCTGATGTTTAGATTTTTCTTCTTCTTCTTCTTTTAAATTCTGTGTGAAAGACATTTTGTTATGTTTAGCAGCAACAACAATCTTTTTTTTTTAATTATTTTTTTTTTCTTTTTGCTTGAGAGTTGTTTAGGCTTATTGCCAATAAACAGAAAGAATTAAATAATATCCGAATATGCGGGAATTTTTTTTTCTTATTCAAAAAAAAAACAACAAAAATAATTCTTGTGAAAAGCGAAGTAGAAAAAAAATCAAATTATTCTAGAAAATTCTTTTCAAATTCTCTTTGCACACACAAAAAAAAAACGTTCGAATCGACAACATTAATTTATTCGATTCTAATTCTACATCAAAAGCTTGACTAATGTGTATTTAGTGTTTTTTTTTTCGTATGTCCGCCACACTTTTTCTCTTTTTTTTCTATCTATTTTGGCTTTAGATTTGGTTATAAATTTTCTTCGTTTTTTTTTGGTCTTCCAAGTAGCAAAAGTCAATCTTTTATATAATAAACATTGAAAAAAATGAAGCTTATGCAAGAAATAAACATAGAAAAAAAAATAAACAAAAAAATGAATCATCCATCAATAATGTTTGATTGAATAATTGAAAACAGAGCAACAAAAATCAAAATCATAAAAGGATAATGAACCAATAAGTTTTTTTTGCAGGTAAAAAAAGGGTTAATACATTCAATAAAATAAAATAAATGTGTTAATTTTGTTGTTGTTGTTTTAGATCTTCGTTGAAAATTTATTACCTTGATTGGCAGGCTACCGTTTTATAATGTTTCTATTTTTTTCACTCAAACTGGTTTGATTTAACGATTCATTCATTTAATGACCAGGAAAAAAGAACCCTTTCACTATCGATTTCAGAGATTTTAGATAGGAAAATTTGTGATAATATTCTATTAACTTTTGATTTTTTCGGTTGACAATATTCAAACGCAAATCAAGGAATAACAATCCATGTTTGCATTTGTAATTGGTTTTTTCCAAATATAAATTTTTGTGGTGATAATTAATAGTGTTTTTTTTTCAATTCAAAAAGTTATTTATTTGTTTGTTTCTCTACATTTTCTCGGCTTATCATGTTTGTTTTTGTCATAGTTAATTGAACCAAAACAGACATTAATATTGGTTCTGCTGCTTGATAATGGTTGATTTAGTTTATTTATGTGTGCCTAACGGTTTATCATTTATCGATAGCTAGCCTGTGATAAAATTAACCATTGATTGTCGTCAATGATGATAATAACAATAATGATTGATATTTTTTCGTTTTTCGTGAAATGATTGATATTTCTATCGTTACGATTGGACTTTATGTTCAAAGATCATCCTGAAATTTCATTTTTTTTTGTGGTTGTTCAAAGCTAACTTCGATGATGCAATCTTTGTATTTTCGATTTTTTTTTCTTCTTCTTGCTGTTGCATCATTCAAACATATTCAGAAATTTTTTTTTTTGACGGGGGGTGTTTGTTTACATTTCGTTTTGTCTCTATTTTTTTTTCGTTCGATGTTCATTGACGGTTGATGGTGTATGGTGTGTATTTTACGATCAAAAACCAATATAATTCACTCTACACCTTAATAAAAACAGGTGTCCATAACAAATGAAAATAGCCTGAACTTTTAGCCTTAAGGTCATTATTGTCGAAAAAAAAACGAAAATGTTACGTTTTTATTTCATGAAAAGTTTACTATCGTCCTTGGGACCTTAGTGGTTTGTTGTTTCAATTTTTTTTTTCGATTGAAAATTGGGTTTTTTTTTGGTTGTTGTTGTTGCTATGCTTTATCATTCAAACACTTGTTGTTGTCGAGATTTGTTCGTTTTTGTTCGTAATGTTTTAGTTTATGTCGTTCGATCATTCATGGTCAAATCAATCAATGGGTCTTCTTTTACAAAATCTTTAGATTTTTCTTTTTTGGTGATTTCTTTGTTGAATTTAGAAACGACAACAAAGACACAGACAGTAGCCATTGAAATAAAAAGTTTTTGTTGTTGTTGTTGTTGTTGATATTGTATCATGAATATAAATCTAAAAGATATGATTCATACATTGTGAAAGTATTATCTTTTTGTTTCTGGTATTGTTTTGATTGATTGTTTTTGTTTTTTTTCATTCTATTTTTTTTTCTAATCTTTGTTTTTTGTTTATTTTTTGATTATGACATATATAGAATTGATTGAATTAAAAACATTGGATATTTGAACAAAAAAAAAAATGAATAATTCAAATTTAGAAGATTTTTTAACCAATAATGCCATGAATCGTTGCGTCAATCCATTACAATCGGAAACAATTTCATCGATTAATGATAATAATGGTTCATCATTTATGACAACAACAACAACAACAGAAATTGTTACAAATAATTGCATTAATACCCCCACCACAACATCGATTCGACCACGTCCAATTTCAGTATCGGCATTTAGTTTTGATAGTGGTTTTGAAGTTTCACCATTTTCTAATCATTCATTTCCATTTGGTGTAGAATCGGTACCGAATATAATATTGACAAATAATATTAACAACAATTGTACATCATCAACAACAACAACAGCTATGGCTACAAATACATCAATGAATTCGATGATTGTACAAGAAGATTATGAAGGTATCGATGATGAATTAATTTCAATTGATCATCATTTTACACCGATTCATTCGCCTGCTGTTGTTAATCGAAATTCATCTACTACACAGATGATGAATCATTTTACACAACGACAACAGGCATTCAATTTGGCCATACAAAGACAAGAAAATCGTTTAGTAAAAAATGAAATGGAAAATAATAATAATAATAATGATTCAAATTTTCCGAATGCATATCAATATGATATATTTTCTTTTGAAGAAGTTGGTGATGATGATGTTTTTCTTAATGATAATGAAAATATTGATGATCATCAGCATCAAGAATTAATGATAGAACGAGAATGGTATCAACCGATACGACCTAGTTGTTCAATGGCATTGATGTACGATGATGACAACAACAATAACAATGAAGAATATCAAGTACAAATGGAGCATATTGAACGTGAGCCAAATTTAAGCATAACAACAAGTTCGAGTACAAGTCGTTGTTCAAGTACACCGATTCCAATTCCTGGTGCTAGTACATATGGTCGTCATCGTTATCGTTCACCACAATTAATGGAAAATGATGATGACATTAATGAAAATTTTTCAAATGATTTTATTGATGGTACAAGTGCAAGTCATTTTATGGCCGAACAAAATGAACCCGAATTTAGCCTTCCAAATGGCCGTCGAATGCCTTATTTTCATCGAATGGCACCACGATTGAATCGAAGCAATGTTTTTAATTCATTGTTCGATAATGACAATAATGATGCGGATAATTCAGCTGTTTCAATCATCAATAATAATAATAATCGTCCGCATCAATTTGGTTCACGATTTCAACTTTCTTTATCAATGATTCAAGGTTATCGTGATCAATCTGAATGTCATAGTCCACCACCACTTCCAACAATACCATTGAATGAAATCCAAATGGCATCAGGATTTTCTTTTCGTTTTGGACGTCAATCACCGAATCATTTTTTGATTAATTCACAAAATTCTCGTAATTCTCAATTGTTTCAATCAACAATCAATGAAATTTATGCCAATCAAACATTGTATGGATCTCGAAGTTTATTATCACCAATTATCGAAATGGAAAATGATGACGATGAACGTAAGTTTAACCTTTATAATATCAATATCTTTATTTTTACTTCTGAACAAAAAATTTTCATCTATATTCACTTTCTCTCGATAAGCAAACGTAATGATAACGTTTTTTTTCGCGTGCTATACACATACACTGCACACGTATTGACCGTTGTCCATACATGCTCACTATACATGTTCACCCGAAATTCGTTGTTCATTCATTTGTTATTATAATGATTATTACGAGGTAAAAAAATCTATTGTATCCATAAGTAGGGGTGGACGATATAATGGATCATTTGACCATATGATTTCTATGTTTTGTGTTGTGACCACCACCTGTTAAGGGTCAACATGTTACACACTTTCTCACGGTTTTTCATTCCAAAAAAAAATCACCCTTAGATCTATTGATTTGATTTCCATTTTTTCCTCAGTTATTGTCAATTGACAATTGTCCAGTATTGTTGTTATTGTTGTTGTTGTTGTTTTTTGCTCTTAAAAGTATTAGACGGAGAGTAAAAAAAAATAGAAATCCCAGATAGTAGCTAGTAAAAAAAAGATTTCAACATAACCGTAATACAGTTAGTCAGGTTAATAGTAGGTGTTATATGTTTGACCAGAGAGTGAGAGAGATATTGATTTTGGAATTGATGATGCTCAAATAAGCAAATATTAAAAATGAAGAATGGAGCTGTCAAATGTTTAAACTAGGTCAATTTTGATATTTATTTTTTTTAGACTGTGCGTATTTGGGTACGTATTTGGCTTATATCTAATCTAAATAAATAAATATAAAGTATTTGAATAGATAGATAAAATGATGATAGGAAAACTCTTTATTTGTTTTTTCAAAAAAAATCCTTGAGACTTATCGATATATTTTTTTCAAGTTGACCTTTATTGATCTCATATTTTTTTGTTTTGTTTTGTTTAGTAATTTTCAATCAAATCACATCAAATCGAATAATTATTTATTGATTCAATGAATATTTGATCAACAAAAACAAGATAAAAATAAAAGAGCAATGGCTCCTTCCTTTATGGAAATCTAAATAAATAAATAAAGAAAATGGTGTTTTTTGATGGAAATGATTAGTATGATAATTTTTTTTCTTATTTTGATTTCCCGTTTGAATTTAATGTCATTGATTAGTGTGTGTGTGTAGTATGAATTGAAATTGGTTAGCTTAGGGTTTTTCTACTCTACTCTATATGTGTAAAGATTGTTGCTGACCTTGAGGTGAATTTATAAAATATCTGGGCTCAATAATATATCGATAGAAAAGAAGAAGAAAAAACTCCGTATCACATCACACATTTTGTGCAACTTGAAAAAATAAAAGCCAAAAGAGAAAAACTGTATTTTAGGTAAACATATGTGTGTGTGTATGTTTAACATGTCAAAGTTCATTTAATACGGAGTTGAAGAAAAGAAAAAAAAATTCCCGGGCTCAATATATGATTTTTTTCTTTTTTTCTTCTTCATTGTGCTACCATTTGACCATCATCATTGATGATCAATGGAAATGAAGAAAAAAAACTATAGTGATGATGGTGTAATCATACACACACACAAACATAGCCCTAAAGGGCAATTGTTCGTGATTTTGGTGTTCAACATATTACACCAAAATGAATGAATAAGAAAAAAAAAATTGGCTGACAGATTCGATGATGAGATGAGAGTACCGGGATTTCGAAAAAAATAAAAATCTTAAAGATGAACGGTAATCATCTTCAGCATCGTCCGCAATCTTTTTTGTTTTGTTTCCTAGCTGTTGTATCCATACAAAGATGCTAAATTTTTATAATAATGATATATAAATCGATAGAAAGAAGGAAAGAAAATGAAAAATTTTCCTGGGCGCCATTATAATAATTATCTATTGATTGATTATTTGTGATTGATTGATTGATTGACTAATCACTCTAATCCTGATTACTTATTGATGATGATGATAGTGTGTTTTCTGTGTCTGTGTGTGTGTGATAATTATATTATCGTTTGATTTTTTTTATAAATAAAATATAAACGACCAAGCAAGCTTCAGGGCAAATCAATTTACAATATTCTCTTCTTTCTTTCGTATATTTGGGTGCATACAAAAATTAACTTTTTTTTCTTCTTCTTTTTTTGATTTGACTAAATAAGTATTAATGTAATGTGATCACTGATTTACCTTTGATTTTGATGATGATGATGATCTAGGTTAAGTTTAATTTCTTGATTTAGAAACAGAGATTTGTTGTTTCATCACTAATCTCTAATTCTTAGTGAGAAATTTACACCAAAAAAAAACAACGAAAAGAAAAAAATTGAAAAATTGGATAATTATAAATTACATAATTATGAAATTGAATATTCTTAGTTAAAATTTTGACAGCAACAAAAACATCATAATTACGAAATATTGCATCAGTGGATGCATGAAAAAAACAGTGAGAAATCTGATATGAATGTCGACAATGATTTTTTTTGACCATCATTAACAACGATGAAACATTTTGAACAAAATTCTTGCTTTCTGGGAGCCTTATTTTTTCCTTTGGCTATTTTTAGAATCTTCTGGACCTTTTTTTTCTTTTTCATTATTTGTAAGAAAATGAAAAAGAATCTTTTAAAACCCGGCGCTTATCATTGCATCATGATCATCATCAATGATGTGTGTGTTTGTGTGCGGCCATTGAATTTGTTTTTGTTTCGTTGTTTTCGAAAGAAAAAAAAAAGAAAGAAAGAAAAACATTCTATTGATGTTCACATTTTGGATGGTGGTGGAAGAAAAAAAAATATATATTTCCAAATGTTTATACTTGTTTTGCCAACATAACATCATCATCAATGACAACAAAACAAAACAAAAAATTGGATGCGTTTTTTTTCTAGTTTCCCGAAATTTAAAAAAATTCAAATTCGGTTGGATGCAAAGTAAGAGGGAGAAAATGTTTGAAAATTCAACTACTGTTTTTTTCGTAATTCTTAAACTAAGAAAAAAAATGATAAAGATGATGGTTTTTTTTCTCTAGTTTTTGGTGGTTATTGCTCTCTCTCCCAGTTTCTCTCTCTTACTTTTTCTCGCCAAAATAATGTCCACACATGTTTGTAAATTTCAGTAAATTTTTTTCAACAACAGAAAAAAAACACATACACACTATGTATGTGAAATGAAAAAAAACGGCCATTTTGTTTTTTATTATTGCTTGGTCTTCATCATCATCATCATTGATGAGCTATACTCTAAGTAAAGTGAAAAGAAAAATAAACCAAACACTATCGAATTTCATTCAAATTTAATGATAGTAATCATCATCATCATCAACAGGGAAAAGAAACAGTGAAATAAAGAATAATATGATAAAATATGACAATCCTTATGATGATGATTATTATTATTATTATTATGGATAAATATCCAACATTATTGTAAAATGGAAACAGACAAAAAAAAATAAGAATATATTTTTTATCTTGATTAAGATGATGATGATGAATTTTAAATGATGATTTCATTTTAATAATAGGGTTTTTCTTTTGCTTATTTTCTGATCCATTGAATATAATAATGTTATATAATAAATCCAATGAATATCAAATCATTTATTTAACTTTTTTTTTCCAATTTGCAAACGATTCGATTAATCGATTGTTTGCGTGTATTGACTTTTTTTTGGTTTTTGCTTTGTTACCGCTGTAGAATCAATCATTAGATCAATGAAAATGATTAGGAATGGAAAAAAAGGTGTTGAATCTTTTTTCTGATTTCAAAGAAACTTTCACGGAAAGATAATATTCATAATATAATAATAATAATATTCATTTTCTTATATCATGTAGGCGTTTGATTCTTTATATTATCATATAGCATTAGGAACATATGTCACGATTTTTGTTTTCTGAAAAATTTTAAAATTTAAAATTTTCTTTACATTATGATTATTTTATCATCATTTTTTCTGTGTCTCTATTCTATGTGTGTTTGGATATTAATCGATAATTTGAATTGTGTGTTGAATTGATTCGAAACATTTTTTTTTCATATCAAACAACAGCAATTTGTCGAGAGGATAAGGATCTATATTTTTTTGTGGTTGGTGAAAATTTGATTTGATTTTTCATTTCTAATTCAAAGGAATCAACAGAAAAAAAATCACATCCTATTGACAAATAATAATGATGACTCGTGACCAGACACACACATAATTTTATCATCAATGATGTTGATGATGATGATGATGACTCGTGTCTTACACGAGACTTGAAGATTTTCTTCTTTAAGGATTTTTTCTTTTCCAACATTATCAATCAACACCCTGTGTATAAAAAAGAAAGAAAGACTGAATTTACCATAATGTTCAGCATCTCTATCATGATGTTAATGGTTTTTGATCGTTTTGTTTGTTTTTTTTATATTTTACCTTTACGTTTACACACACAAGGAACACACAATTTTATATTCGCATGTCGTTATTATTCATCGGATAGTCAATTTTTGTTGTTGTTGTTGTTGCTTTCGTTGCTGGTAAACAAATCATCAAACGATAAAGATTTAAAAACATCCCGAAAAAAAAGCTTTTACTTTTCCTATGGTTGTTAGTTTTGTGTTTGTTGAATGTTGACATTCGATTCATATCGATCGATTGATGCGGCGATACTCGGTGCTTTTTTTTCGGTTGAGTGTTTTTATTTATTTTTATTTTCTTCATCATTCTGTTTTCTTTTTCTTTTTTTTCATACATCATCATGATGGTCAAATCGATGATGTGTTTATGTGTGTGAAGTGAAACGAATCGTAATTTTTGGTGATCATTATCGTTAAGAGAGTAGAAGATGTGTCTTATCATCAGTAACTCAAAGCTAATTGACAAATAATTAATTTTAGGAAGATTTTTTTTTTGATTCTTGATCAAAATCCTAAAAAAAGACTGTGTTTTGTTGATATGTCACCATTATCAATATTTTTGTTTTTATGTGGCCAGAAAATCAAAATTGATCGATCGATTCTTTTTTTTTCGAGAAAAAGATTATCGTCTTATCACTTTATGGTAATTTTTTGTTGTTGTTTTTGTTTTTCTTTATTTAGGATAGATGCACACAAACACACACAGACCGGTCAATAACCCGTTCGATCAATGACCAAATGGTTAATGGGGATGATCCATTAATTTTTTTAAAAATGATAATTTAAAATCTTAATTAAATTAGATTTTGTTTTTGCAATTTTCTTTTGAGAAAAATGATGCGCAATTAAACTTTTTCCTTAAACTCAATCACACACACACTTAATCTGATTTCCATTTAATTTTTGTCCAATAATTTTCTTCTTTAGCTGTCATTATTCCACATCAACATCAAATCATTATTTACGATATTTCTTTTGTTTTTTTTTCTAAAATCATAATCTTGTGTTCAAATAGTATTTTCGTAAAAATTAAATCAGCTAGATAAATAGATAAAGTATGAGTACGAGAATCGTTTTTTCTTCTTCTTCACTTGTCTTCCATCATCATCATAATCATCATCGTTTTATTCAAACTCAATATTGATGATTATGATACACATTTGTCCATGGCCAGTTTAAGTCAAGTTTTTTTCTTCTTCTAAACTTGAAAAGATTGAAAGATTGTTTTTTTCAACCATTCAGAATAGAATTAAAGAAGCAAGAATAAAATCCAGTTTTGCTTTCTTGTCGTCGTCATCGTCATCATCGTCGATGACGATATGATATGATTATGTCGGGTGTGTAAACACCCTAATGGTCAATGATGATTTGAAAAAATATGGTGAAAATTGAATTAGTTTTTTTTCTCTCTCTCCTTAGAGAGATGCTTATTTCTAACAAAAACAAAAAAAAACTAGAGATAGATGGATGGATAGATATTGACCACTGGTCGTTTTTTTAAAGATTTTTCAATTTAAAAAAACAAACGAACGAACGTATGATGATCGTATGACACATTATGATCGTCATCATCATCATCCGTCGTTTACCATCACTGCATCAACAATAACCAAAAAAAAAGAAAAAGAAAAAAAACGATAATTGCTTGACATTTTCATCGGTCATTCGGACCTGTCGTATAATTTTCGTTCGTTTCGTTTAATTTTTTTTTCTGCCTTAAATAAATTTTCACTATCTTTTACACACAAACGAACAAACAAACAAGAAAAAATGAAAGAACAAACAGATGATGATGGAGAATTGAAAAGTTGTCATGTAATAAAGAGAGAGAGAAAGGTTGTAGTTCAAATTTTGAATTCTGTTTTTTTTTTAAAGTAAAATATATTCATCCCATTCATCATTCATTTTTCGTTGTTGTTGTTCGATGGTTGTTTAGTTTGTTGGTCCCTGATCAAATCATAAAGTGCTCGATGGTAGTGATGGTAGATGATGATGATGATGATTGACCATCACCATTATTCACCATCACCACCACCACCACCAAAAAGGTCGTTGTTTTTTTTTGTTGTTTCTACGATTTTAAAAACATCATTTTTTTCGATAGCAAACTAAATGCTGATGATGATGATGATGGAGATCAAAAAAAGGGCAAAGGTCAGGTACATCGTTACATCATTATATTTATTATAGTAAAAAAATAGAGAGGGAGAGAAAAAATAATAGTAAAACAAACGAATAATGATAATATCTATTCAGTAACCAGTAGTGATGTGTAAAATGAACACAATTCGATCGAATAATGTTTCAAAAAATGAATATCGTGTGTTTGTATCGTTTTTTTCGTTCTGTTGTTTTTTTTTCTTTTGATTATAATGATGATCACTATGGTCATCATCATCATCATCATCACGATGATGATCAAAACTTGATGATGATCATCATCGAAATCATTTTTATTCAATGTTGTAATTTTACCATTTCCATATCGATTGTCATTATAATCATTATTATCATCATCATCAAATGACAGGTTTTCTCTTTGGTTTAACCTGATGATGATGATTTTTCCATTTTCTATTTTCTTATGATTGTTTTTTTCCCTTATTTAATAATTGGCAATTTGAAATGATGAATGTTTATTTCACCTGTTTTTTTTGGGATAAGGTGTGAATATCGATAGATGTTTTGTGAACGTGTGTGTGTGACATGTATTTTTTATTTTTTCTTCTTTTTTTTTGTTTGTATGAATCACTTTGGATGTTTAGGTGAAAATTTATTCAACCGAAACCAACATATTCAGTTAGTTAATAATGATTTGCTTTGTTGTTAATTTTTAATAGATTTTTTGTTTTTTGAAATTTCAAATTCATCTTGTTTTTGACATGGATGAATAATGTTTTGTTCTTTTTTCAAAACAAAACAAAACAAAAATCTACAATGGCGCCCGATAGTAAAAAAAGGTGGAGCCTGGTTATCTATCTATATATATAAATAACAAGAAATAACAAAAGAATGGACATTGTAAATGACCAGTGTCCACTTTTTGTACATACACACACAGACACACATACCAACATTCCAACCCAATCTTTAATCGCAAAATTGTTTGTTACTCTGAATGAATGTATAGTAGTTTTATATATAAAAAATATGACGCCTTCGTTGTAGTGCTGCCTACATGCATTCATTCAACATTCTTCATTGATGTAGAAGATAATGATGATGATGATGAAAAATAGCATTTTTTTCAAACTCTGGAATGTTTGGAATGACTAAAATGTGAAATGCCTGCCTATGTCCAACCTGAAAATATCTATTTGTGTGTGAATAGTATGCATTTTTCAACATTATAGCGCTCCCGCTATTTTTATATAAATCAAACTGTATAGATAGATAGTTTTAAACATCATCATTAGATTAGGAGTCATAAGACGAACCAGCCTTTTTCCTATTTTTTTTTGACTATTTTTATCTTTATGTTTTATAGTTTGTTCAAGTAATTTAATAATTTTTTATTGTTTTTTCTTTCTTTTACAAAATAAAGATTTACAATTTCCAATGAGTCTTGATTCTAATGATGTTCAACAATCATCATCATTACGTATGGAACCGATAATGGAACAATTGGATACAAATGAATCAAATGAACAAATAATACGTAATGATTCATTATCATCATCATCATCGAATAATAATAATAATCGACCATCAATGGATGTTGATCTTGTACCATTAATGGATCGTCGTTTGAATTCTTGTTGCCAATGTCGTCAACATAATAATAATAATAATGTTGCTGCTAATTCAATAACAACAACAAGAAAATCAACAATTGCACCATTACCGGATGTTGTTCTCATACCGAAATTGGTAACAAATCGTTCAAATAAACAACATCATCAACGCAATACTTTGCTTTCATTTCATGAAGTGCCTTATCATCATCATAATGATGATTCCTTTAGTCATAATCATCATCATCATCATCATCATTCAAATGAACGTCGAACAATGTCCGTATCATTACCAATTGATTTTGAAAAGATTTCTGAACTTGGTAATGAATTACGACAAATTTCTCATAAATTTCATATGTTAAAGGTTAGTGAAAAAAAAGAATTGAAAACGATTATTTAAATTTTCTCACTTAACATTTATGATGTAAACATCAACTCCTACGCCAGATTTGAAAAAATCAAAATCATTATTATTCAAAGTTTTTTTTTTGGCTAAAATGAACTCGAAAAAAAATTTACAAAAACTATTACCATAGACTATTATGATGGATTATTTATGTGGTAATCTACCGTGTCTGTAAATCCATTTGCTCCATTATAATATAATAATATCGAGCTGTCAAAAAAAAGAAAAATTCATACATTTTTTGTTTCTCGCTGCCAAACATCTTGATTTTTGATTTTTTTTTCTTTCTATTCAATGTGAATAGAAAAATTAAGAATTTACATGATGTATTGTCGTCGTCTTTCTCGACACTCTTTATGCAATATCAATCAATGGCAGTCAACAACCAAAAAAGATTCTTTATGAAAATCTAACCGTAAAATCTGATTGAATTAACATGAGGAAGAAACTCTCTATCTGCAACAACAACAACAACAAAATTGCTACAATTTAGGCCTTTTCCTTATCATCCAATAGCTTTTTCTTATCTCTTTTAAGGATAAATATCATTATATGATCACTGCTCATCCATCATTCTTGTATATTTTTTTTTCTTTTTAATTCACTGATCTTCTAAATGTTCATCATCATCATCTTCCTACTTCTTTTTTGGTGAAACGCTACTGTGATTGTGTACCATAAAGATTTTTTTTCCTTCTTCTTTCATTTTTGATGATCTTCTTGGGCAATAAGAAAATCTTCACGCTGACAGAAATGAAAAAAAAAATACAAACCATTTTTTTCTTTTTGCTATCAAGAGTTATATAAGATTATATTCCCTATTTTTTTCCTAAAATGATGATGATGATGATGATCTTGATTGGATTTCAATTTGTTTGTTTCGCTCTCTCTCTCTCTCTCTCTTTTTCATTTCATCTCTTGTCTAGAAAGATCTGTTTTGTTAATAGTTGACTGGTTGGTTATCGCTTTATGGTTTTTTTTCCTTCTTATTTTATGTGCGATATCAATATTTGTCTTCGCTCTCTCTTGTTTCGTTGTTGTTGATTCCTTGATGTTTTTTCTACCCAATTCAACAACAACATTGAAAAATCATCATGTGTCCAATTTTGGCCAAATTTTCTCTTTTTATATATTTGCCCAATATTATATTAGGATGATGATTATTATTAACATAGAAACTGCATTTAAAAAAACTATGTTTACATTTTTCTTTTTCGTTTTTCGTTTAAGTTATAATTTGCTTAGGATATGTTAGTGTATGTGTGTATTTTGTCATTTATGTCACCCAAAATGTTTTTTTTTCTCTTTGCTCTGTTGTTTGATTCTGTCATTGTGTGTGTGTGTAAGGAGAAAAGATGGAGAAAAATATTGTGAAATGAAAGATAACGTTGTATTTAGAGTTTACTTTTTTTCACTTATTATTTTTCAGCAATTGAGCAAAATTTATATATTTGTTCGGTTGTCCCATTTATAATCAGTCAACGTTTTTTTTTCTGTTTTTTGTTTTCCTCTACCCCTCGATATATTATCATCGTGATCAACCTGGATCGATAGAATGATGTGAACAAGGACAATAGCTTTCTATGACCTTTTTCTTTCATCTTTCTCTCGGTTGGATCTCTTTGTTCATTAATATCGTTATATGATGTTTAACATGGGGAGAGAGAGAGTGTAGATAGGTAGGATCATGAAATGAAACCCGGATAATAATAATAATAATAAAGGAAATTTTTTACACGTGCAGCCAATGTCATTTCACGTGAATCTTATTTCACATTCCAATGTTGGATGCTTAAAATATTTTCTGTCAAAAATCAAATACCGTTATTTGTCCGGGATTTTATCATTTTCTTTCTCATTGTTATAACTTTTGAATATTAATGTATTCATGAAGTAGGTGAAGGGCATTTGCCTTCTGTATCTCTCTAACCAAGAAAAACGAATTGAAGATAACTTATTTGATGCTCAATAAAATTGACATTCTCCAAATCAAAGCATCAAATCAAATCGATTTGGCCTTTTCCATTCACACATATAACCTTTAATGATAACTATTCTGTTCGTGTAGGTGATGCTTATGATGAAAACTTAATTTTTTTTTTCGTTCGTTCGTTTTGTAAGTAAAAATTATTATATAAGCCTGACCTGTGTGTGTAGGTCAAGATAGTCAAAATAGTGGAACTAAATGGAAAATAAAATTTTATAAAACAGCGGTGTATGTGTGTATATGTGACCCAAAACTATTTACGAACAAAAAAAAAACAAATCAACACACCAATATTAATAGACATCAAAATAATAATATCCAAAAAACCATATGCTCTCGTGCAATCATTTTTATTCAATTTTGAACTTTCGCTCTCGTTATTTTTCAACTTTTCAATTTCATTTTGAAAAAAAATATTTTCCCCATTATTATTGAGTTGGTTGGTAGAATGTTGGCCATATATCCAATGTGGTATTTGGATTTGAACCGACCCATTCCCGACAATACCCGATAAAATTAGGAAAATCATAATTTAGCAAGGATTGGAAAGAGAGAGAGAAAAAAAGAGAAAGGAAAAAAAGATCCTAAGGTATGATGGAAAAGAGAGAAAACAAACCGTTACAAACGATTGATTTTTCGTTAAATTTACATTTGCGTGGGAATGTATGTTTTTTTTATGTGACAAAAAAAAATTAGTTCAATCAATTCGGTTGTATTAGATTGAAAGATGTAGATTGATGATGAGATATTGAATGAAATGACCAAACTGCTAGTAGGTAGTTAGAAATTATGTCTAATTTAATTTGGAAGCCGGATTTTCATCTTCTACCAAAATGTCAATAGGTCAAACAAAAATATTCTTCATAATATGAACATTATGGTTTGCCAAAATGATTGATTATCATATCAGTTTTTTTTGTTGTTTTCTCCTGGTTGCCATATAACATCTTCAACAAAAATTAGCAAGATTTTATCAAAGATGATGCTTAACTGAATTAATTAGTTTATTTCCATATGAATCAAATTTTCGATCAAAAATCATGATAATAATGTTTTTCTAGCTAAACACTATTACATAATCGAAACAGATTAGCTTCATGTTCATTTCTTCTTCTTTGTCTATACACCTACACAATTAAGAAGAAAAAAAATAGAACCCGGTATTTGAAATTAATATCAAGAAGCGTTCTGTGGTTGTTGTTGTTGTTGTTTTATTATTATCATTTTCACATCCCCGATTATCATCATTATCACGAATATCCATAGATTACCCTCAAAAAGAAAAGAAATAATAAATCTCAACCAACCAACCAACCAAAAAATGATGGTAAATAATCATTCGATGGATGGATCAACAAAAAAAAAATTATCCATTATCTCTTGACAAGAGTGAGAGAGAAAAATCATTTGTTGTTCAAAATGTGTTTGTATTTGAAAATTACACACACAAACACACACACAACACATAAATAATGATGATGATCTTGATATCTATATGTTTTCATATACGATGATGATGATGATGATGGAAAGGATACCCTTTTGACCTTTGTATAAATATATTGTTTGTGTGTGTGTGTGTTTGTGTCTACAATCTAACCATTTCCAATAACACTTGATGATGATGATGATTATCACATAACCATTGGCGTTGATAATGTAGATGATGATGATCATCATCATCCATGTCATTATATTATCATCATCATCATCATCATTGATGTTGTTTGATGGCGTCTTGTGTGTGTGTGTTGATACAAAACATATTGAATAGATGAAAATTTAATTTGATTCGATCTGATTCCTACTTTTCTTTCCTTGATACCTGATGATGATGATCTTCATCATGTTTTTAATATTTACCTTTTTTTTCTCTCTCTCTCTCTCTCTCCAGTTTCCAGGTTTGATTATCCATTGTTTCTTGTTCGACAAAATCTTATAGTTTTTTTTTTGTTGATCGAGATCAAAATATAAAGCCAGCTACAACAAAAAAAAAGTTGAATCTTTTTTTCCACTGTTTTGGTCATGATGTGATTTAGTATTATGTGATGTTAAGGTCTTTTAGGTCAATCAACACACACATACATATATTATCTCTTTTCAATGTTTCTTGTCTTTGTTGCTTATCATTCAAATTTGAATTGATGTTTGGTTTGGTTTGGTTTTTTAACTTTTGTTCAATACACACTTACACACACACAGTGAACAGTTATAGCTTTTTTTCTGATCATCATCATCATTGGAATAATTATTATTCGTTAGTTTTTTTTTCTCTCATTTTCATAGAAGAGTGTGATGATGATGATGAGCGTATTAAACAACAACAACAACAACATCGTAATGTTGTTTTGGGCTTCTGGGTGCGCAAATATAATGCAATATGATGATTTTTTTTTTTTTTTTCCATTCGAAAACTGATGTTTGGATGCTGTATCGAGGGAGAGAGAAAGATGCTGAGTGATGATTGTGTGTGTTTGTCCATCGTTTCTATTTCGTCATCGAGTTTATTATATTTTTTTTTTCTTCGTTATTCGATTTGTCCGGGCTTATTTTTTTTCCTCTCCTTTAACCATCATCATCTTTTTTGTATAGTATTTTTTTCTCCTTACTTTTTTTTGGTCCCGGGAATAGTAAAAAAAATAATATTAAAGAAAAAAAAAATACAACCGATGCAGTCAATCGTAATGCCAGTTAGTAAGTTGATTTGAGCTGCTGTTACTTTTGTTGTTGTTTTTGTTGTTGTTGTTGCTTGAAAATTGAATGAAACCGAATATCGAATGAAGTGATTGACTGACTTGGTTGATTATGAATCCGATTTTTTTTCTTTCTTTCTTTCTTTCTTTGCATCATCGTTTAGGTCAATGTAATGATTTTTTATATTTTGTTTTCCTTACTCCCACTTATCTTTTCTGTTTTTTTTGCTTTTGCTTTATAAAATGGTCATCATGAATAATACAACGAAAGTTTGTGCAAAGATTTTCAATTCTTGTTTTTTTTGTTGACCTTTTTTTCTGATCACAATGATCGACAGTGTCATTTTTATTGGTTTTATTGAAGATATAAAAGAATAGTGATCATTGAAAATTCAATGACCATCACTAGCATAACAATAAATAACGATGGTCATTATCAATATTCATCATATCGATGATGATAGATAGATAGATATTAGCTGAAAAATGTCTTTCAATGTTTTTCTATTTTTTCAAAATTCTGATTGAGAACAAAAACATAGCGATGAACAGCTAAAAAGAAACTTTGTGACCAAATAATGATGATGAAAATAATTTAATCGATCAATTTTTTTCATTCTTCCATAAGATTTTTATCAATTTTGAACTTTGACCGCAACAAAAATTGACCAATATTCTTCTTCATCAGTTAAATTTGACAATATCAATATTGTCAAATTTTAGTTTGCAAAAGTTTTTTTCTTTCTTTTAGAAATTTGATATTTGACGACCACTTGTTTTTTTCTGTTTGTTTGTTTGTTTGTTTCAGATTCATTGATCTGGTGTTTTTTTTCTCTTGTTTACGAAAAAAAAGCTTATCTTTTTTTTGTGCACGTGGTTCATCCATACATTCGGTCTGGCACACTTTTCTTGTTTTTTTGGAATGTTGAATTTGTTGTTGAAATTCCAGACCTCCTCACCAAAAAAAAAAGATCAGAGTATCATCTTTTTTTAATAGAGTCCACTAATTTTCTTTTTAAAAAAATCTGCTTATGTCATTTGATCCATTTCAATTGCATAATTTTCTTTTTGAACTAACTTTTACAAAAATGTTCCAGACTAATTTATTGTTATTTATTTTTTCAAATAGATTCAACGATCATCATCAAAAAATAATTTGGCTCATATGACACGAGATAATCATCATCATCATCATCATCATCAAACTGTTAATGGATCATCATCAACCATCAATGGTAATGAACAACAACAACAACAAACAAATAATGTTGCCATTAATATGATTCGTTCAATGTTGGAAATGATAACATTTTTATCATCAACATCAAATAATTCTTCTAATCAATCTACTGAACAATCATCTTCATCGATTTTTACCGTTAATAATTCCACTTTTTATACTGGATCATCATTAAATCAATCATCATCATCATCATCGTCAACCACAACAACAACAAAAACTGCTGCAAAATTGGATGATGAAAAAATTCCTTGAAAATCATCGATCAAAATAATCAAGAATTTCTATATTATTTTCTATAGAAATTTTCTCAATATTCTTTTCTTTTAATTTAAAAATTATATTCTAATCATATACTAGCAGTATACTTTAATTTAGTTTACAAATACAAACATTATCTAGTTTTCTTTTCTTTTACATCCTTTTTTAATCATCATCATCAGGCAATCACACAAAATAAATAAATATATCTATTTTCTACATAAATATTTACCAATATTCATAGAGTGACCTTATTAACAAACAAACAAACATTTTTATCTTGAAAACATCTTTCTTTTGGCTCAATGTTTCATCATCATTATCTGTTGATTTCAATGAACAGAACTTATGGATTTATTCTCTCTCGATACACAATATTTGTCTATTTTTATTTAAAAGTTTACACAAGTTTCAATTTCATTTAATTTAATTTATTTTCTTCCCTTTCATATGATTATCATAATCTTTATTTTTGTCACAATTTCGTTTCAATTAAATGATTTTTCTGTATGATTTCCCACCAATTCATTGATAAACCGTAACACACACAAATCAAAAAACATGATCAAGAATACAAAATTAACAAGAAAAAACTTGTCAAACAAACATTGTTTCATGCTCAAACACACACACACAACCATCACACAGCGTTTCACAAAAATGATCTCATCATAAATTCCTAAATCCTGTTCAAAAGAAATGTTTCTACAATTCAAAATTATTGCAAAATTATTGTTTTTTTCTAAATTATTTTTTTTTTTGGTTTTCACTACGACGGGCTTTCAATAACCAAAATTTTTACACCGAAAAATTTGTTTTTTTCTTCACCTTTGAATTACAAAATCTTTTTTTTTCTGTTCATTTTCATTGCCAATTGCTCATTTTTTTAAAAAAACTGAATTAAAATACTAATTATAATTGAAAAAACTGATGCCTTTTTCCTTCTTTTTGTAACAAGGATGCGCAACTTGACCGCAATTCGAATATCATTTTGTAATTTGAAAAAACATCATTTATCGATTATCAATTAGGAAACGTGTGTTTTTTTGGTGAACCGATAAAACTAAATAAATACTTCGAGGTGGTTTTTTTTTCGTTGGCGGAAAAATTTTTCAAATTTTTCAAATTCCTTTCGTTTGGAATTTCTTTGTTTCTTTAGGAATTTCAACTATGCTAAAAATCTTAAGAATGTGTGCTTCTTGTTATTCGGTTTTGTTTGTTTATTTTTATTATTTTTTTCATTCACAACAGCAATAAACAAATAAACAAAAATCGATCGAATGAAACTTTAAGCGAAAAAAATGAATTATATCATAAAACAATTTGGCCATACACTAAGTGCTCAGAAAAAAGTGGACACTTTGCAAAATAACATTGCTGTCTATGGGAAAATGGGTTTTTTTGAAAATTTTTAAATCATATTTGCTGACGGATTTAAGAGAAAATAAAAAATTACTTTTTAGCAGGAGAGTTGTAGTTTCCAAAAATGTAAGAATCAAGTTCCAGTTTTCACTTCCGGTACTAGAAGTGGGGCGTCAAAGTTCGCCTTAAAAAAAAAGTTGGCTTTTCTGCCTTTGTCGACACCTAGCGAATTAAAAAATCCCTACAAGTCGACAAGATGTTTATGGAAACTTTTCTCACACACACAACACAATAATGAATCAATGAAATTCAATAGAAAAAAAATCATTTTTTCATGGTTATGTCCGTTCCAAACCAAATTTTCTTAAGTTCTTAAGAGAATCTTAATGTAACGAATTCAAATTGGTGATCTAACATGAAGAGAATCCTTTTTTAACAAACCCAAATTGGTAACCTAACATGTCCAAAATCTTCATGTAACAAACCCAAATTGGTAACCTAACGTGTCCAGAATCTTCATGCAACAAACCCAAATTGGTAACCTAACAT